CATCACAGGTGTCGAAATTACCTGTCCCTTGTTCACCTTTGCGGAGGTGAACGGTTGGGTAGGTTTAGGCCTAGTCTCATCAACCGTGAGATGTTTCGTCAGACCCTTCCACTATTGCACTCTGCTTCTCTGAATGTTTATTGTTTTTCACCTATAAGGTTGAACTGACATATTTGAACATGAAATCACATTTCATGTTGGGAAGGTCAGCTACTTGGCTGTGAACAACTCTTTCTTGAAATATTTTAAGGCACGACGACTTTTTGCTTAAATTTTTTTCGGTGATAACAGTACCCTCGATAAATGTGCATTCATTTCATGACTGAAATAACGCCACACACCCTGGGCGTATCGCGTTTGTGCGCCTCTCTTTGATCTACTTGAATAGCAGAGCGCGTCTCACTATCAGCTAGCATCAACTTTCGAAATGCAGACAATTTTCTTACTTTAGGCTGTCAAATGCGTGGGCTTTTGTAGCGAACCCTTGTGCCTAAGTTAGCACATTGCCCGTAGGTATCATGGCTTGGGTTTTCACCCTTCAGCATGCCTCTGCATTGTTCGAAGCAGACCATTCTCTCGGTTAAAGGTCCACTCTAATAGACTATGTTATGCTGGGTAAATTTGACTCCTCCATGAAACGTCGTATTTGTACCCTCTTTGAACGTAAAGTAAACGTATTCCAACGCCATCCACCAGCGCTCATATGATTTCTCACCCTTCCCTACCCATGAACAATACTACTTCCCCACGTTTGAGGACATAAAGTTAACAAACTTCATGAATTTTGTTTTCAACCTCGATAAAGCTGTCGAGTGAAAGGAGAGGGTGGAAATTGGAGGCGTCATAAACTAACTAGTCATGCCTCTTCATTTTCTTAAAAAGAGTATTTGAAGCTGCAATTATGTGCCATCTTAGAAATCCACAACGAGTATATTTTGGATCGATGGAAAGGCATATTTTGCTACTATAAGCGCTTCTCGAAGGCGTCTATTCTCTGTTCTCCCTCCTGCTACTGTCAGCATTGACCATGATGTCACGACTTCGTTCGTCTTGTTTCCGCTCAGTTGGCTCACTGAACGAGGAATTCAAGTAACTCAACTGAACGTTTGGCAAGGATAAAGGAAAAATTGAGGCTACAGCCAACGGAGGTTGCGCCTTGTAACGTGCTGGAGTAAACGGAGACTTTGCATCACCATCATTCTCACTTTCTACTTTCTCCTTCGATTCCCCTCTTTCCTTGACATCTTCCATCTTTGCTACCTCCACGTCACCCCTGATTTCAGCCTCCTCTTCCTCCACGTGCCTTTGGTTCACTACTATAGGTCGCTCCAGCCACAGAACATAGATCATCCATAGAATCTGTGAGGCGAAGAGACCACAGACGAGGGGCACCAGAAGGACCCACACAGGATTGCTTAGGCCTGTGTCGAAGAGAAATTCTTTCAACGCTTTCAGCTCCTCTAGGATAAGCCGTTTTGTAACGTTCATGGCGCCCTGCTTGGTCGCAATCGATGCAACAAGGGCATTTGAATTGTCAGTCAGTTTTAACTGCTGCTTATTGTGCGTGTGAGTTTAAGTGGCTCTTAAACGAGATGTAGGTGCCAATTAAGTTTGCAAATTGCCCTAAATTATATACTCAGCACCTTGAGCACAAAGTTTTACCACGTGTTCCGTGACCTTTCCGAAAAACTCTCTACTTATAGCAGCTAGCTCAAATTCTCTGCTGAAGCAAGTCACTGCATCATAAAACTGGTGCCTATCTCCCTGTGCAGAGCACTTCAAGTACACTCTCGGGCCAGGCGCCTTAACAACTCAGTAGTGAGATGCTTGGATACTGTGGGTGCCTCTGGGATGAATTTACTTCGGCAGGGCTATAAATCTCGGGGCTCAGGGAAACCCACTGATCAAAACCTGCCTTGAGGTTGTACCTCTTATTACTAATGTCGAACATATGTAGATTAACATTTTCCACTGGGATCGCTAATGCGTGAATTTAAGGTTTGCCATAAATTTAGAAGCATTAGGCGAGTGTGGAAGTCCTGCTGTCGCTAGCACAAACTTGACCTCGAGATTGACCTTGTTCAATGAAGGGAGACAAAGTTAGCATTTCCTGCAAAATTCTCTCTTATTTAGCAGATAATGTATTAATTCAGTAGCTATATATGGAGGTTATAAAAATCAAGTCAGATGGTCATAAGTCGAGGCGTCTCAGATTCGCCACCTTGGCCGAGGTTTGCTTTTATTGTTTGACGTTGAAGATTCCTTAGCCGAAAGGGATGCGTTCTTCTGCTTAACCACTACCAGAACCGGTTTGGGACTGGGTGTTTTCGCAGATCGTGGTCTTCGTCTTGTCACTGCTTTCTTACTCTGTGATGGTACAGTAGTTTTTGGTCGTGATGTGACATTATTGTTTACATTTGATCGATTAGCAACTCGTGGTGGTCTGGATTGGTGGCCTTTCAGATTTCTCTGATCCTCCGAATCATACTGATTAAAGGCTTCAGAGGAGGCATTTCGAGGTCGTGGGACCGCCGAGTGAGATTGTGATAATGTGTTTGATATGTCAATGCCGGTGTCGCCACTTTGCTTGGTCTCGTCAGAAACAGGGTGACTGTCACTCGTGAATAATGCTGTCATGGCTCTGGTCTGCGCTTTTCCCACAAAAACTGGTATGTTGCCTAATTTTTGAGGTAAATTGCTAGTCGTTGTCAGCGTCTTTTTACTTTCTTTTAACTTTTCACAAATTTTTTCGTCTAAGAATCCTTGAACAAATGCCAACTTCTTCAGTTCCAAGCGCAGCTCGTTAACTTGCATGGGTTCCAGAGCATAGGAATCGAAGATATCTTCGCTGAATATGTTTATTTCTTCTTGACATGACTTCCAGTTAGTGTTAGGTATTTGTTGAGCAAGTTCAGTCGCCAATTCCATCCACTGGGGCCATAGTGTTACCTTAGGATCTACTTGTGCCGGTGGGACTATAAAGTCCTCCAACATGTGCGTATCAACGAGGCCCGTAAGTAATAGATTGGCGAGCCGTTGATAGGGCTTTGTAAGACATCGGTTCCTCAATCTATTTAGCCAAATAACCATGAATGCAAAGCATTCGTCCCGATCGACCGCAATCGCTCGCATCACCTCAGCGGCCTCTGGAGGTGGCATTAGTCGAATGTCGTATGGAGAAACTCTTTGTGGGAAATGATGACGTTTGGTTGCACATCGTCCTGGTCCAACACTATAAACCACAGGCCCATGCGGCATTGTCTCCTGCTTAAAAAATCCTAGTTTTTCTAAGATTTCCAACACGTCGATCAATCGGTTGGCACAGTTCGCATAGGCTGGACTGATTCCGCGTCGACAAACACGTCTGAAAAGAGAAAACCACACAGGCGTCTTGTTTCCCAAATCGCTGTACACGTAGGCATCATACGTCATAACATCATAGGGACATTTACCAGAGGGACCAGGATATGTAAGGTATTGTATGAGGCGAATGATATCAAATCCAGGTCGAGTAATCATTAGTCGAAGCGCATATTCCATAAGGTCTGTAGTCCAGTAGATTTTTTGACTGGGTGATGCGATATGATCCACATATCTTATTCTATCGTGAGGATTAAAACCACCTGCTGTGAGTAGATTCAGACCTGTATAAAACTCGCGTCTGAGGGCCAATACAGCAGGGGAGGTGGTGAAGTAGTCCTCGAATCCAAAGACACCGTGCTTGGGTTTGAATCTTTTTGCATAGCATGTAGCGTTTACGTCAACATTGCTACGCGCACGAGATTTGAGACGAGCTCCACTGTCATCCAACAAAATCCTAATGACTGATTTGCATCCAAAGTATATTGCCATAGCGAGAGGCGTCAAAAATAGCACAGTTTTTGCCGAATAGGCGGAAAAATAAGAAACCTCCTTTGTGCTGACATACTTATCAGGCTGGTCGAGTACTTCAAAATGTGCCGAGAGGATGAAGGGATGAGCGTTAGCAAAGTTGACCAAGTGATGCAGCCCATTGCGCCGACGCATTTGATTAATCATCCATTTGGTAAGTTCGTGATCCTCCGGATAGTATTTGGGGAGATTGAAGGCCAATTCCGCCTTGGAGGTGTCGTATGGCGTCATTGCGCCCTCCTGTCCACCGTCATTGCAGTGAGATCGATCCTCGGGGCTGGCAAAGACTTGCACGTCATTGTTCATCATTCCACACCTACTCCTTACACCGTCTAGAATCAGCTGCTGCTCCAAGTTTGCCTGACTTTCGGTATTGATTTTTTTTAGAATTTAAAAGTTGTTTTCCGCGTAGTTGACATCGTGATACAAAAAGGTATCGACATTTTGTCCAAAAGCAAAAGAAGA